TATGGGCACGGATTTTTCATTTTTGCCCTATGCTGCATCTCCACTGAGAACTAAAACTATTCTTTCGACTAGTTTCACAAAATCTCTCCACTAAATACACTGAGACTTGTAGCAGATGTGATATTCTATGGAAATCGTACATGGAATAACTGCTTCAGTAAGAAAACATTAACCCAAAACCAGAATTTTTTTCATTCATCACGCTTGTTAATAATAGAACCTGATTATTATACTGAAATACTCGATTAATTTGTGCAGAAACATGCAGATGTGAAACTTTATTATTGCAGGTGGAAAACACAAAAGCCAGAATTAAAAATACTAAGTCACAGTCTAGTTTAGTTGTCTGTCTTCGTAAAACTTATGAATCATTTTTTGCTGCTGCTGTATCTGTTGGTCGCATTTCTATTGATGCTAGAACCGTTGTCGTTATCGGTACTGCTACATGTGTTCCGAAATCATGCTGTGTCTGAATTGAATGTAAACGTTCCTGATGTAAATCACCAAAGATACCAGAGTACGGCAGATTCAGTATTTGTTGAAGCTCTTGTGGACTTGGATAGGATATAGCAGCAGGAACTACCACGTTCTCTTTCGTAAGAAGACGCAGACTACTACCAGTAACACCACCATTCATTCCCTTCAGCTGCATGATAATACGGCAAAGATTTTCAGCTTGCACTTTCTTCTGATCAAAGTTAGCTGAATCATACTCCGCATTTCGAACTAGATAGAATTTCAATTCTGTATTCGGCTGGAATTGATTCTTGTAGAATTCTGCACGATCTGATTCAGGAAGAATACGTGCATTTGATACCGTATCCAGATTACTGTACTTTGAATACTGAAGATGTATTGTAATAACCCGCTGTGCATTCTTCTCTTCAATAATTTCAGTTTGACGTACCGGTTCCTGAGCTTTTTTACAGCAGTCACCACAACATCCTTTTTCTGCAACTACGGGCACAAGACGTGAATGCTCCTCTGCTTTAACACTCTTCTTAATATCAGATGTATAGTAGATATTGATAACATCTTCAACTGGAATCATAACCACAGTTTCATCCGAAGACAACTCTTCTTCTTTTGATGTAGCCAGAGGGTCAAGCTGCCGATCAAACTTTTTCTTGTTTGAAAACTGTGCTGCTGCGTAATCAATTGCAGTTTTCTTTGATGATTGACGATAGGTATGAATCGAAAGCATCGGACACGTATACGTTTGATTCGGTGTTAAAACACCTAGAAGGATCGAAATATGGCAAAACACGTCATCCCAAAGAATATCACATCTGCTACAAGTCTCAGTGTATTTAGTGGAGAGATTTTGTGAAACTAGTCGAAAGAATAGTTTTAGTTCTCAGTGGAGATGCAGCAT